ACCATTGTGCCTGGCTCCTATTATTTTTGTCATCAGCCAATCATGCTAACATTGCTAAAGACAAAATTCCCATTCAGTTTTTAAGGACGACAACCCACGGCCTGTGTACCAATTAATGGTCACTTGTGTGTCACAGAAAAGGGAAAACATGACAAGTTAGATTTTTTAAAAACAGTTGTGAGCTTCTAATAAGCTGGGACTAGAGGTTCACACTTTGGTATTGCTGTTCTTCCCCAAACACATGGCAAAGATGCATAAACTAGAAAAAAAAAAAAAAAAGAAAACAATGATGATATTGCAGAGTTCAAGACAAAAAAAAAAAAAATAGATGACGATTTCCATGATAAGAACAAACAACAAAATACAAAAGAGTGAGTTGGGCTGAAGCCATGGGTCTGCTGGCTCCAGATCCAGAATCAGGTGGCGGTGGCTGGGTGACAGGAAGTCTACTACTCCACCTGAGACAAAGGACTTGAGTTTGAGTCATTGCTCTTAGACTGAGCTGTGACTTAGGGAATCTGTGGGCCCACAGAGGTGAGTGGATACAGATGCAGTCCTGAAACCAGAAAAAGATCCAAGCTACATGCTGGCTTGGTGACTGGACCTGCGATATCTATGACATTGTCATGACCTAGGCCCCTGAGCTGCATTTATAGCACCTGGTTCTGACATGGAATTCCAGAAAGCCAGTATAAAGACACCCACAAAACCACTAGATTTAAAGAAGCAGACACAGGGAGTGAGGAGAGACAAAAAGTAGACTGAAAACAATAATAAAAAACACTTTAAAGTAAGACTGTAAATCAAAATTGCAAAATTCACGAAATCTTATCCTGAAAAAATACAGTCAATAAAACATGAACATGAATTCACTCCAGAAGGAAATTAATTTTAATGAACAGTGTGACAAATTGGTTAAAACAAGGAAGCTTAAAGAGACCCATAAGAGAATAACAGTTATAAAAAGAATTAGCCCTCACGGAACTAAAATAAGCATAAATGAAGCAAGAACAGATAAATATGCAAAAATAACCAAATAGAACTCTTTGAGTAGAAATATAACCCTTGATATTTTAAAAAATACTTAATAGATGGACTGAACTCTAGACCCAGTAGGGGAAGTTCTCATGACTGGGAAGATCATAGGGAGGAGTTCACACTAAATTCAACATGGAAAGACAAAGAGTTAAAATACGTGAACGAGTGGTTACATACATATGAGTCCAGAAAAAGAGAATGAAAAGAATGACAGAGCAGTAACATAAGGTGCTTAACATAAAAGCTTTTGTTCTAAGAATTATGCAGTTTAAAAGACCTAAATCTCAGATTGAAAGGTCTCTCTTAATACCAGAATAAATAAAAATAAATTCCTACCTAGGAACATTGCAATGAGACTTAGAACATAAAGAATAAAAGGAATGCTTACATGTGCCAGGAAGAAAACATATTATCAAAAAGAATAGCACTGAGACTTGTCAGCAGCAACACTAAATGCTACAAAGCAAGGAAGAAAGCAGTCTTTAAAGTGCTAAAGGAAAAAAAAGCTTTCAACTTAGACTGTTATATCCAGCTCACGTTGTTAACCTTTTCTCTCCCATCCCTACTCTGGGACCCCTTAATTCCATGGTATGTGTACAAGCATCTGCAAGAGCAGCCAGCTACACCTCTGTGGCCTAGAGTTACTGCTGCCTCCTTCCCTATAGCATGCAACCTGGGCAACTAGGACCAGAAGCAGAAAGCAATGCTGCCCCAATATCCTTCATGCAGTCAAATTTGTATAGGGGATGGGGAGGAGATAAGAAATATGAATACCTGGGAAAAAGAGGAGCTCCAGGTCATGGGAAGAAAGATGTGACATGACGTTTTTGAAAGTTCGAATAGATCCACATTCTGTTGAAACCTTGAAACTTTAAAAATTTGGATTCTTACCAACATCTTAAGTTCTTCTTGCTACTCTTAACCTCCCAAAAAGCAGTCTCTAAGTCACATAGATGATCTCTTGGGTATTTTCTCTCTCAGCCACGGAGAGCTGTGAAAGGAAGAATCGCCGTTTTCTCAAGCAAATCGGTTTCTTTGGTTCTCACTCCTTGCCTGCTCCTGATGCTTTGACCCCGTTTATATATCAAAGTGCTCTAGAATAATGGATGGTCTTGGGTGGTGAATAAAGGTGGATAAATAGGGACAGTGACAGTTAAATTGGGTGTGTTTCTTACAACCTTGATGGGTTTTTTCCCTCCCAAGTTTCCTTCTCCATTGAAATGCCACACCAATGCTTGTTGCATTTATGAGGGGGCCAAACCAATGTGTTGTTTTTCTTTTCTTTTCTTTTTTAAGCTTCCCTTGAGAGAATAAATGGTAACAGAGAGAACTATTTAACAAGGTCCTGGTTTCTCTTGCAACGCAGTAGCTAAACTTGCCTGCTTTTATGTGCATTTTTGTAGGGATCAGCTTGGTAGACAGTATTAGCAGAGAAATGACACCTGGATCTTGCTTTGCAAGCCCTTCTCCCATCAGTCTTAGATTAGGCCCTGTTAAGCCATGCACAGCTGTTAGTTTATGCGTTCTACAGCAGTGGGCATAATGAATATAATTTACCCAATGGACAAAGGTGTGTACCAAGTGAATTTAAATAATTGGGGTGGATTGGCTAGTAGCTAAGAAGTGGGCTTTTAATAAGATACTGAAGGTTGAAAAGTTTTTTTTTTTTTAGAAAAAAAAATTGACTATAGATATGAAAAGCTAGGGTTTGCCCTCCTTGTGTCTACTCTCCTTCCAAATAGTTGTATCCAAAACTGTTCTTTCCTCTCCCCTACCTTGCACCCCTGTTAAAATAGAAATGGGGATTGATTAATGTCCCACTTGTGAATATATGTAAAATTTGCACAAATATATCTTCTGTGAAAATGATTTATTATCTGTAGACTTATTACCTGGGTGATGTCTTGAGATGTAAAAATCCCATCCTTTGGGTTGTTGTTTTTTGTTTTCTCCAAATAAATCTGATCTTTAAAAACAAACAAACAAACAAATGAACAAAAACAAAAAACGAAAGAGAGAGATGCGACAGGAGAGAACACTGAGAATGTAGCTATTGCCATTATAATCTATGATCTTAAAATGCCTCTCTCCTGCCGTGTGTGTGAATTAAGAATGAACGCAGCCATCTTAGCAACTAACACCAAGCCATCCAGTAACTGACACCCCTGTGAACCAGAAAGTCAGCACTCTCTGGGAGAGTGCGTGCGTGCGTGCGTGCGTGTGTGTGTGTAATAGAGAGATGAAGTGAGATCACTGAGATTTTGTAGTTTTTCAAATGCGGTTTCTGTCAACACACGTGTCTCAAATCAGGGGCAGCTAGTACAATAACACTGTTTCCTGACTTTCTTACATAACAGAGCTTACGGAATTTCTCTTCTAACCAAGAGTCATTCTCATTTGTGCTGTGAAGTTGCAGTGGACAGGGCTCCTCCTACACAAGAATGTATTGACCTAAGGCCTGATCTTTCCCCAGCACACAGTCTTACTAGTGGAATCCTCTATTCTGCATCTTCAGTCAAGTAGTTTGATCTGTGTTCTGCATGAGGGAGCACCCTGACTCAGCACTTGTGTCTTCTTTTCAGTTTCTGGGGTTTTCATGTTGCTTTGAGGCTGGAGTTTGTCCATGAAGATTTTTTGCAGCAATAAAGAGCTGTTTTATTGCAGGCCTTGTGGCCTCTTGATCAATTTAACAGCTTATTAACACCATCTAACAAATTTTGAAGACACTTCACTGAAACAAAATTAAGGCCATTTTTTTATGACTTTGGCACAATCAAATTTAATTTTCCTAAAATATTGCCCAAGTAGAAAGTACAAGGCTTCCAAATGTGATAGTAAGAGACAGATTTTTTTAATTGATGAGAAATGTAGAAAGTAGATGCATTTCTGAAACAACAAGTAATTTAAGTTCTAGTCAAAAATAAGAAATTAAATAATATGCTATCTCTTAGCAGACTTGCAAATGAAGTGTCTTTTGATGACATTTATTGCTCTCTCTTTGATTACTAAGAAAATATAGAAAGGGTAGAGAAGATAAAAAATCAGGTATTTTGGCCCTGCCTTAGAGATATTAAATTTTGGAGTCTACTATGTTACAGCCTGCTTTTTTTTCCTTTTTATGTAATAATTAATATAATAATATATTATTATAAAATTTTCTTATGAACTTTAATAAGACTGCAGCATAGCATTGTTTTATAATTGCATAGTATTCAATTGTGTGAATGTATCGTAATTTGTTTAACCAGTCCTCTACTTTCTGTCTCTTTGGCTGTTTCTGATTTCTCACTCTGATAAGTAATGTTGCACTGAACTCCTTTCTACAAAAAATCTTTTTTGTACACCTTGAATCCTCTTTTAAATGACTTCTGAAACATTTTTATTTTCATCCTGAAGGCAGGAGTAACTACCTTTAGTGATAAATTTTAAGTGACAATTTTCTTCTAGTGCCGGCTCTCCCAGGAGTGCTGACTTTTCTAGTTCACAGGGGTGTCAGTTACTGGATGGCTTGGTGTTAGTTGCTAAGATGGCTGCGTTCATTCTTAATGGACAGGCTCTCAGTTAATAAACTCTTCATTTCCTTTTTGAAACTCTAGAATTGCTTTTACCATTTCATTCAAACCCATTTTTAAAAAATCTGAAATGGTTCTCATGTCAACTTCTTCATGCAGCTAAAATTAATTTTGATGTGTTATTTGAGATTGAGAACTGTTTTCCAAGAACTGTTATTTTTGGAGTTTTAGTAGCTGTTCCTGTACCTGCCCAATGCCAATTCATTACATTTATCAGATCTGTAATGTACATTTTAATTAACCTCATCGTTGGCCAAGTAGAGCTGTGCAATACTTAATTCAAATTTTGGAGAAATTTGTTGGAGATCTTAATACATGGTTCAGTCCTATTTAATATGAATCAGGCTCACAAAACTGCAGTCCTTACATTAAGTCTCTCTTAAATCCCAGCAGCCAGAAAATGAAGTCACTTTGGACCACAGCCTAAGAATACAATGACTTCAGAACACAAAATCTTCAGTTAGGGAGGAGTTCATAATAGTCACCCTAAAAAGAAGTAAAATTTAAACTCTCCTGGACAATAGTGAAATTGCTTACGCTCAAATAGCCAGAAAAGGGGCAAGGTGAGTGGCAGGGGAAGAAGAGAGGTTTCTCAGATTTATCTGTTTCATTTCATTGTTTTTTCTTAATTGGTGTTTTTTGACAGTACAATATCTGAATGTATAATTATGAGATAGAGTAGTTCTCATAATTTTGCCACCACTAAAAATATCGGGAAAATGCAGATTTGTTCCAGCTGACCGAATTACTGCTAAAGTAAACCTGATTGATTAAAAGAAAAGCTTTTTTTTCCTCAATGTAAATAACAATGTTCTGAATATCTTGGGTTTCCAGGATACAGCAGCTGAAAATAAAGTTTACAGCCTATGGCAAATGCATTGTATCTTAAGATGTATCATATTATCTGGCTGAAAACAAATAGCTGGGGAAAATAGGCATAATGAAAGTACCAAATTTCTAAGTCTATTTTTAATATTTTTAGTAGTACTGACCCCAGAAGAAGTATAATCAGTTTTTAATAAAGGCAAATTCAAAAGCAGCAGTGCAGAACTTAATATTCCTGGCACTTTTCATAATCATGGCTTGTTGTCACATAAACCTCTATCATTCAATTTATAAAAATTGGATAAGCTGCCTGGCTCATTAAATAGCTTACGTGAGTTCATACTAACAGGGTGTCAGAGAAAGAAAGAAAAGCCTTTAGAAGGGCTGGAAGAGGAGGGCAGAGGAGAAACAGAGGCTCCCCTAAGAGCTTGGTGGGACTTGAGGCACAATTCCAACCACACCCTCCTCTCCCACACCTGAGCCAGAGCAACATTTGAGGAGCACAGAGTGACTGCAAGAATAAATGCTGCCTCACTTTTCCACTTTATAATAAAACAAAAATTATGTGATCTTCCATCATCCGTTTGTAACTCAAGATGTCTTGGAGCTGGGAAATTAGGGGAATTTACTGGGCAGTGTGTATGGGCGTTGCTATGACTAAGGGGAGAAACAGCAGAATTAGGACCTAATGAGTCTAGAAGGATGGGGTTGGGCTTCTCCTGGGGGATTATAAATGTGTGAGTCACCAGCTGACAGAGCTCTGATCCCTGACTCAATGCATAGGAAATAGAACCACTAGGGGAGGGTCTATGGCATTTTAGATACCAACAATGATAGTAACACTAGCATTTAGAGTTTATGAAGAGCTTTAATTCTTCTCTCATTTCTATTCCATGGACTCCCTTACATTTCTAACCGTGGGTAAACTCAGCAGGAATGATGCCTGAAATAGTGTATCATTCCCAAGTTGCCAGGGAAAGATTCAGTAAGCTTTTAATTAAAATCACAGGAGAACCAGATTCTAAGGAGTAGTCAGTACACAGCAGTGTTGCACTGTGGACTTTGCTGCACTCAGTAGGCTCTCTATGGTCATTCAGAGAGATCAAATGGCCCACTACTTACTGAGAAGGAAACTTGAGAAATGCTGTGCTGCTTCCTAGAATCACTGATTTGCAGGCAAGTCTTACCCTGAGTATGGTAAAGAGGCACCAGGAAGGACTGGGAAGACCTGGCTGCCTGTAAGCCTTTATTTCCCTCGCAGGTGCACGTATGCCATTTTCAGAAGAAGAGAACACTGTTCACCTATTCTCCAGTCTAGTAAGGCTGGCAGTCCCAGATACTGAGTCAATGACCAAGACTCAACTCTCTCCCTCACTTCAGATTGCCAGTACATAATTTGGCTCTGGGAAAGAGTTCCACATTGATACAATACCCCTCATGAAGTTTACAAACAGGCTGAAACTTCCAATATCCGGTCTTGCCTTCAATATCATAACTTTTTGCATTGCTAACATAAATCTACTTCATCTATGAAAAGCATTAACTCCCGGAGAACCATCACAGCAAAAGCCAACAGCTCTTCTTTCAATATTACCATTCATACCAGGGCTCTGGCATTCCCTTTAGCCAGCTTTGGCTTTGTGATTTTTATGGAACCCTGTGACCATGGTTTCAGCAGGGCTAGCTATGGGTCAAACAATCTGAGCTATCTTGACATTAACGATCATGGAAGCCCAGGAAAGTCTTTAGCCTTGGGGGATGAGGAAGGCATTCCGTGGAAGTGCCTGATGCTTCTCTCTGCTCAAGCATAAGTAAGTCCACATTCAGTCTCATAAGCTGGGGATCATTGAGGAAGATCTCAGGGCTGCTGGAAAAGGGTCAGGAATTCCCCAAGCCTTGGGGCTAGGACTGCAGATTAGCCCGTTGAATGTTAATTTGAGGTCTGGTAGTAAGGGACCAACAGCTGTTGGGGACCCTAGAAAGGCAAATGGGTAGCAAGCAGGGCTTCAGATGACTTCCTCTCTGTGGCCTCCTGGGCCACAGAGCAGAAATTCTCTGGAGCTTTTCACTGTTCTAGCTGCCACCTTGGTCATTCATGAGTTTTGTTAAAGGAAACACACAGGAAGATTCAGCAAGAGAGAAGAGGCAAGGCAGGAGAAATAATGGCACAATGAACATTTAAGAGAATGCAGGGAAGAGAAGGAAGGAAGATTGAAAAAGAGCAGTTACTGAAGCTGCAGCCCATCTGTAGCCATCAGTGTCTGATACACATGATTTGCACTTAACTTTTGACCGAACCTCTTAACAGTTTTTTGCATTAACAGGAGATGTCCTTATTTGCATTTTGTAGATGGAGATATGAAGGGTAGAGACTGAAGTATCCTTGCCCAAGAACACAGAGTGAAGTAGTCAGATTTTCCCAGACTTTATCCTCTGGCCTTTTGAGACTAAAATGCCTTATTGTTTAAGCCTTAACCAGTGTATTTCATTTGAAACCTCTTCCTCGTTGGGTTCCAAGACACAATTGCTGTTGCTGTTCTGCACACTGCTAAAGGAGAGATGATTGTACCATTATTTTTCCAAAATTGTAGTGGAGCATCAGAATGATGCAAATCAGTTATACATGTCAGAGATGGAAGCAACTTTGGAGATCACTGAGCTCATCTCCTCATTTTCTAGATTAGAAACATGAATATAATCCAGAGAGGTGAAGGGGTTTTCCCAAAATTACGTGGCTGTGCAGGGAGAGCTGGAACTGCAACATAGATGTCTTGATTCCTAGGCAGCTATCTACCCAACGGTCTTACCAGATACGGATTTGTTTCTTTTCTGAATATATCCAATCCAAAGTAGTTAGCATTCCCAGAACATTCCAAGTGGGTGAACAATAGCAAACAACTCAGTGTGATCTAAAGCACTGATTTCTGGTGTTTTCTTCAAGGGTGTTTTGGCTTTCAATCTGTTAACCATAAGGAATATTGAATTTAGCAAAGTACATTGAAGTTTTCTGTGCAACATGTTTAAGAACAGCTGAAACCAATTAAGTGCTAATCAGTTTTACTCTGTCTGATGCAGAGTGGAAAAAAATGTTCCAAAGGTCTCTCCACCCTGAGATGTTCTTGGCAACGGGTCTCTGTGCTGTGGGCCCCCTCCCATCTCTCTTAGTCATGCACCCTCAAGAAGAGATCTGGCCAACTCCCTTCAGATCTAAGATGAGAGCAGAACTGAGTTCAGTATTTTCCCTTGAAATAAAAGTTTATCCTTCCAAAAGCACAGGCAACAAAAGTGAAAATAGACAAATGGAGTTGCATCAAACTAAAAAGCTGCACAGCAAAGGCAACAATTAAGTGAAGAGACAACCCATGGACTGGGAGAAAATATTTGCAAACCATACATCTGATAGGGAGTTAATATCCAAAAATATATAAGGAACTCAAATAACTCAATAACAAGAAAACACATAACTTGATTTTAAAATGGGCAAAAAATCTGAACAGACATTTTTCAAAGAAAGATACAAGTGTCCAACAGACATATAAAAAAAAATGTTCAAACATATCTAACTATCAGGGAAATGCAAATTAAAACCACAATGAGATATAACCTCACACCTGTTAAAATGACTATTATCAAAAAGCTGAATGATTATAAGGGTTGGTGAGAATGTGAAGAAAAGGGAACCCTTGTTTACTGTTGTTGGGAATGTAAATTAGTACAGCCATTTTGGAAAATAGCATGGAGGTGCCGCAAAAATACAAAACAAAACAAAAACTAAAAATAAGGCTGAACTTGGTGGCTCATGCCTGTAATTCCGGCACTTTGGGAGGCTGAGGTGGGCAGGTCACCTGAGGTCAGGAGTGTGAGACCAGCCTGGCCAACATGATGAAACCCCGTCTCTACTAAAAATATCAAAATTATCAGGGCATGGTGGCAGGCTTCTGTAATTTCAGCTACTCAGGAGGCTGAGGCTGGAGAGTCGCTTGAACCCAGAAGGCAGAGGTTGCAGGGAGCCGAGATCACACCATTGCATTCCAGCCTGTGTGACAAGAGTGAAAGGCTATCTCAAAAACAAACAAGCAAACAAAAACCTAAAAATAGAATGACCCTACGATCCAGTGATCCTGTTTCTGGGTATATATCCAAAGAAATTGAAATTAGTATATCCAGGAGATACCTGCACTACCATATTCTTTTCAGCATTATTCACAATAGCCAAGATACGGATTCAAACTAAGTGTCCATCAAAGGATGAATAGGTACAGCAATGGTGGCATATATACACAATGGAATACAATACAACCTTCAAAAAGAAGGAAATTCTGTTATTCACAGCAACATGGATGGAACTGGAGGAATTTATATTAAGTGAAATGAGCCAGGCACAGAAAAACAAAATACTGTGATTTCACTTACATGCAAAATCGAAAAAAGTCAATTTAATAGAAACAAAGAGTAGAAGGTGGTTATCAGAGGCTGGGGTAGGAGGAGGGATAAGGAAACGGACAATGTGAATCACCAAAAACTACCAAGTTTCAGTTAGACTGGAGAGATAAGCTTTAGTGACCTATTGTACTGTATGGTAGGTGACCACAGTTAATGTATGATACATTTCAAAATTGCGAAAAGAATAGAGTTTTAACTATTCTTTTATTGTCCCTTCACTATTAATCTCCCAAGAAAAATAAGTTGGTGAGGTAGATATATTAATTAGCTTGATTAATCTTTCTCAAATATATACAATACATAGATCAAAATATCACATTGTACCCTGTAATTATTTGGTTATTAAAAGTATTTTCTGTTAATTAAAAAAATTTTTAAAGCTCATCCTGGGAAGAAAGAAGGCTGCAACTCTGAGGCAATGCATATCACAACTATGAGAATAGGAGAGGTGGAGGAAGATAGTGAAATCCAGCCATATCCATCCTCTGTGGTCACCTCATGGACTTAACCAACCATCTCTGTTACCTAATTTCCTAATGCCAATTCCCTCAAGCTCCACCTTCTTGCATGAGAGATAGACAGCAAAGTGAAAGGTTTTCAAATCCAACAAATTAAGTTTTGAATTTGGGCTCTGCCAGTTATTAGATGTGACATTAGACAAACTATTTAATCTCCCTGAGCCTCAGTTTACTTACTTGTAAAGGAGAGTAATAATACCAACTTGAAAAATTAAATGATTTGAGATCTATTTTACAACATGGTAACTAAATTTAAGACCAATGTATTGTATACTTGAAAATTGCTAATAGAGTAGATTTTAAGTGTTCTTACCACAATTAAAAGATAAGTATGTGAGGTAACATTATGTTAATTAGCTTTATTTAGCCCTTTCACAATGTACATTCTTCAAAATACCATGTTTTATACCATAAATGTATATAATTTTTATTTGTCCATGAAAAATAAGAAGAAAATAATTCAATGAGGTAATGGAATGTCTGACACATAGTGGGTGATCAATAAATGCTAACTGTCCCACATCATTCCTTCTAATAAATTCTTTGTGTACCCTTTCCTATATTCATTCCATTTCATTTCACTTTTCTATTAGCCTTGTTCAAATACGTTAGAGTGTGTGTGTGTGCACATGTGTGCACGTGTACATCTTTGTGTCTGTCTGACTGTCCTATTGTGTCTTTTCTGGAGGACAGATGGATGATTAGGAAGCCACGAGCCAAAGTGTCCTGATCTGCTGTGTACACAACAGGGAACAGATCACTCCTGATCATTTCCAGGGTTTTCAGCTTCTAACCCCAAGCCCAAAATTCTATGGGCTTCTAGAAGACATCCACAGTTTTCAGCACCATTCTGTGTATATATATTTTTAAATCTACTGGGAATGGAGGTGAAAGAACGTCATACAAACTAAACTTGACCTTGAAAATGCCCACCACCTCCCTCAACTCAGCTGAGGGTTTGTCACCTTCTATGTCACCTTCTGCCCACATGGTATCATTCTCACTGTACCACCAGTTGCTGAGTGACTATGGGCCACCATCCCTAGGCTATACCCAGGGAACTGGAAACAGTCTAGTGCCCACAAAGCAAATGTGCTAAACTGCTGGCTGTCATCCAAGGGTTGTGGGAGTGATCAGACCCACCTACACAGGGAGCAAGAGCACAATGAAGAGACCAAAACAAGTTATCATTTATGCTAAAGGACTAGCTTGGGAGTGTTTGGCTAGAACAGAATGGAATGCCAGATTCTAACCACCTTCTTAGCTTTGCGAGGTATTCCATCTTTTTACAAGCTAGGAAGTTACAGTTCATCTCCCCTGTTCAGATGAAACATGTTTTCAAAATGGTAGCCATTTGGTTTTTCCTCCTGGTTTCTTTCCCTAGTTCAGTAGGCTTTGAAACTAGAAAAGATTTTGGAGTTGTTTAGGATTTGCATTTTAAGTAGTTAGAGGTACTCAGAGTTTTAAAGCATTGATTTAAAAGATGCACATAAAAGTTTTCTATCTCACAGCAAACTGTTGCTTACCTTCAAGATACCAGTGTTGCACTTTAATCTTCTCTTTCAAATACATTCATGCAATCCAAATTGTTTTTTGTTCCATTCCATAAAGTAATACACCTATAAGAATTTTATTTTTGGCCGGGTGCGGTGGCTCACGCCTATAATCCTAGCACTTTGGGAGGCTGAGGCGGGTGGATCACGAGGTCAAGAGATCGAGACCATCCTGGCCAACAGATCGAGACCATCCTGGTCAACAAGGTGAAACCTCATCTCTACTAAAAATACAAAAATTAGCTGGGCATGATGGTGCGTGCCTGTAGTCCCAGCTACTCGGGGGCTGAGGCAGGAGAATTGCTTGAACCCAGGAGGCGGAGGTTGCAGTGAGCCGAGATTGTGCCACTGCACTCCAGTCTGGGCAACAACAGCGAAACTCTGTCTCAAAAAAAAAAAAAAAAAAAAAAGAATTTTATTTTTGATGAATACTGATAGCACTCTTTACTTAGTAGCCAGTCCCTGGTTTGCCATACAGTATACATTCTCTATACCTTCTTTTTTACTTAAGCATTGCAATGCAATCAATACTTGGAAATTAAAGATGCACAAGTTATAAATACAGAAGAAAGAGTAACCAACTAAACTTGACTATTTTTGTATTAAGATTGTGTGTAGATTTTAGTTCTGTGTTTGCTGTAGGTTCATCAAAACATATTTAAAAATGACTAACACTGTTTGCATATTTACATATATTTATTATTTGATGTAATAAAGCTTATGTTCATTATCAATAAGTAAATAAAAATAAAGAATTAGACCCTAACAGATGAACAATTACATTAAATGCAAATGGCCTAAATTCATTAATTAAAAGAGATTGGTAGATTGGTTTTAAAAACATGACCCAACTATATGCTCTGTGCATAACACTTGCTTTAAATAAAATGATATAGGTAGGTTGAAAGTAAAAGAATGGAAAAAGATATATCATGCAAACATTAATCAAAGGAAAGCAAAAATGGTTATATTAATCACATAGACTTAATATTAACAATATTAATAAAGTAGAGTCTGAACAAAGAAAATTACCAGAGACAAAGAAGGACACTATGTAATAAAAGAGTCAATCTACCAATAACATACAGAAATCCTAAATGTGCTTGTACCAAACAACAGAGCTGCAAACTATGTAAAGCAAAAATTGATAAAACTGAAAGGAGGCCAGGTGCAGTGGCTTGCACCTGTAACCCCTGCACTTTGGGAGGCCAATTTGGGTGGATCACCTGAGATCAGGAGTTTAAGACCAGCCTGGCTAACATTGTGAAGCCCTGTCTCTATTAAAACACAGAAATTAGCCAGGCGTGGTGGCAGGCATCTGTGGTCCCAGCTACTCAGGAAGCTGAGGCATGAGAATCGCTTAAACCTGGGAGGTGGAGCAACAGAGGGAGACACTGTCTCAAAAACAACAACAATAAAAAACAAACCTGAAAGGAGATAAAGAGAAATCCTGAAGAAAGAGTGGATTTGAAGCTGTTCAGAGGATTGAACCCCAGAGAACATGACAGAAATGGAAAACCATAAAGCGAGGCTTTATCCTCCAAAGAGGCAGTGGGCTGAGCTCAGTGACTGACAGCATCTGCCAAGTAACACAAGGCCTGAGGATTCTGGGAGAGTATAATATGCAGGATGATGTCAGGACACATATTGCTGAACCTTTTTTTAACTTCAATAATTATTTATTTTGATGTGTATTACAGAAAAAATACATTGTGCACAATAGGTAGAAACATGGTTACATAGACCAATGTAAATTAACAGATTCTGTCATGAATGTTTCAGATGTTCATGTACTGAACATTTTGGCATGACTTTTTAGAAGTAGGGATGGTAAGAATGACTGCTCCCATCATCTCACCCCTGATAGTCTAGCGGGGCTACCATTCCCAGGTTAAGATTGCATCCAA